CGAGGACCCGGGTAACCTCCCTTTCACCCAGGATGGACCGCCGGCCAGCTCCTCCACCCAGGATGCGTCTTTCGGGATTGGGCTCTGGCTCCTCTTCGTGACATCGCCTAGCGTCTCCGGAGCCATCATCCTGAAGAATGGGGGGCAAAGGGGAGCTGGTTCTGGGCCTCGCCCCTAGCAGCTCCTCCGCTGTCAGGCCGGGTCCTCTTCCATCTGGCAGACCCCATCCTGACCTCCGCCTCCTGATCCTCCCTCAGGATTCTGAGCACAGAGCCCTCAGCCCGCCCCGCCTCCTCCCTGAATCTCCGTGTTCATTGTCCGCCTGCAATAAACTCCAGCCCCAACTGCCTCGTGCTTGTGTTTGTTATGTTGTCTGCAGAGGTGCCTCCTCTCTCAGCTTTGTGAGGGCAAGTCCTTCCTGGCATCTGATCTTCGTCTTGCCCTTGGTGGGCTGTGTGGGTTCTCCCCTTCTCTAGGGAACCCTTTTCTTCTTCTATTGCCATCAGGTAGTAAATGGGTAAGGGTGAGAAGAGGCTAATCCGCAACAGGGCAGTTGAAGGTCAGACAGTGTGAAGGACTTCACAGTTTTGCATGCTTGGGACAGAGGACAAGTGCCTCTGGAGAGGAGGAAAGGATCCTGCCTCCTGTTACAGCACAGGAGGCGAGAGCAGAGGTGGGAAGATCTCGGCATGAACTGGGTTTCCAGGAGTTGTGATTAGTATAATTACAATGTCAGGGTCAGAGGGGCATATAAGTCACCTGGGGATGTCAGGGTGCTGCTGGAAAGGGATGATGCTTTCTTCCTGGGATCTGAGAGATGAACGTGGACGGGGTTGGTGGTAGGGCTTCTCTGCCTCTCTGGAAACCCCCAGAGGAAGTTATTAAAGCATCTTCTGCCTTTGAAGATGAGTGCAACCTCTCTGGTCTGCAATGCTGCCAGCCAACCGAGGCAGAGAAACTCAGGTCCTGCTGAAAGAGTCAGAGGTGGTCGAGTCCATTTTTTCACCCAGAAGACTGAGGTCTGGCTCTGGGCAGGGCATTGGACCCTACAAGCAGGAAATGATTTTCCTGTCCAGCCACCTCCCTTAAAGTGGAGACTTTCCCAGGAGAGTGAAACAGCCTCCTCCCTCAGATTGGGACATTTGTGGATATGTACTGGGCTGGGAAGATCAGTCATACTGTCACCTCCCCTCCTTTCTACTCCAGCTCCACTTCCCAGAGGTGTCTCCAGACTGAATGGAACTCAGGAAGCCAACACCTCTTTACAGTCAGATGTTGGTTAGGGACACTGACCTTGGGGCCAACATGCCGAGATTCAGATCCCATCTCTTCCGCTCACTAGCTATGCCACTTTGGGTGGGTAACTCAACCTCTCTGACTCTGTAAAAGAAAAATGATTATAGCATTTATCTCATAGAGTTTCTCTGAAGATTAAAGAAGCTGGTGATCCGGAGCCCTTAGAATAGCATCACATGTTCTTTCTATCCGCCCACCTCTGTCCCTTGGGGCTTTAAAAACCACAGCTTGGATCCCAAGGGATATCCAGACAGCTCAGAGCCCTGGATGCCAGCAAATGGTGAGTTAGAGGGAGGGGCTTCGTCTCTGTTCCATTGGGCCCTGCCCTGGTTCCCAGCTCTCCTACCAACCCCAGTTTTCCTGCTGTCTCAGTTTCTCTTCTTGTCTCTGTCTCCCTCATCACCCTTTCCTCTACCTCTTCTCTTCATATTTCTCTCCCTGTCTCTCAGTCTTTGTGTGTCTTGGTGTCTCTTTCTGATGTCTCTCTGTATTGTCTCTGTCTCTATCCCTCACTCTGATCTCTGATCACCCTCTCAGCTCTGTTGCTCTCATCCCAGCTCTCTATTTCTTTCCCTTCCTCACTTTTCTCCCCTACATCTTGATCCAACCCCCACTTCCCATTTCTCCCCTAATTCACTCCATATCTCCTCCCCATCCCCCCTTTTGAATCTCTCTTCCTTTCTCTCTTTCTGTTCCTCTCAGTCTCTCTTTTGATCGCTATCTCTTCATCGTTCATTTAACAAATATTTATTCAGCATTTACTATGTGCCAAGCCTTATTTTAAGCACTGGGGACACAGCAGGGAACAAAACAGGCAGAAAATTCTGCTCTCAAGGGAGCTGACATATCAGTGGGGAGATGGACAAGAAATAGGATGAATAACTTAAATATACATTGTGTCAGGTAATAAGAAATACAAAGGAGAAAAAATAATGGGGCAAAGGTGATAGGGAGTGATGGAGTTGTGCTGGTTACCGGCTTGAAGCCTAAGAGAAGAGAGGGCAGGACATGTGGATCTCTGCGGGAAGAGTACTCCAGGAAGCAGGAACAGCCAGTGCAAAGGCTCTGAGGCTGGAGGTGATTGGCTTATTCAAGGGACAGCAAAGAGGTCAGTGTGGTTGGATCAGAGTGAGTGAGGGGGAGGGCGGGAGGAGGTTGGAGGTTAGAGAATGGGGGTGGATTGTGTAGAGCCTCATGGGCTAGAGTGAGGACTTTGGTTTTTAACTTGGAGTGAGATGGAGCTGTGGGAGGCTTTTGAGCCCAACTTAGGTGTTAACAGGACCCTCTGACTGCCACATGGAGAATGAACTGTAGGTGGCAAGGATGCAAGCTTGGAGCCCAGTAAGGAGGCCACGGCTATGATTCAGGTGAGACGATGGTGGCTTGAACACGGTGGTGATGGAGAGGAAGAGAGAGGTGGGTGGTCAAAATTTGCATCTATAAAATACAAGTGGCATAGAAGTTACCATTGTAACCATTCTAAAGTGTACGATTGAGGGCATTAAGTACATTTACGAAGTTGTGCAAGTGTCACCACCGTGCCTCAGTCTGAGAGCTGTGGAAGGAGAGAGGGAAGAGGGGTCTGGGTCAGAAGAGCAGCAAGTCTGTGGGATGGGGGTTTGTGTCTACAGAACGGGATCTTTGAGCAAAGGTTGCCCATCAGAGTTGTCCTGGGTGGGGCTGCAATGGGCTGGCACTAGTAACTGCTGTGTTCTGTCACTGGGAGCAGCCCAAGGGAGGCATGGCCAATGAGGTGGGACTGTCAGACAGCTGTGCTCTCAGCAGCAGGAACTCTTAAAGGGAGATCTGAGCAGTGCCATTGCATGGCCATCACAGGGATCTAAACTGTTTCTAGTTCTTTCTGGCCTCATCTCCAAGCGGCTTCACCTGGTACCCATAAGATCCGGGCACCTGGGTCCCACTCATTCCCCATTCTTCAAAGATGGGGAGGCGTGGCTTCTACTGGTGGGACAACGGGCTTTCCTTCAATCTGATTGGATCAGCTTGGGTTACATGACAACCCCAGAACCAATGCCTGTGCCAGGGGCTCGTCAGGTGCTGGTTGGCTAAGACTTGGATTCCTGAACTACTCACTGGCAAGTGAAGGCGGGATTACTCTGAAGGTTTAGACCAATGAGGACCCATTGCGGGATCCGGCCAAAGCCCGCGGGCATCCCAAATTCTCAGCCAAGCTGCAAGGACTGAGACTGCCAGGAGGGGGCGCTGAAGGGTCGCCAAGCTCCTGCCATCTTCCCCTGTGTCCAACTTGAAGTCGAAGATTTACAACAATCAGAGCAGGAATATAAGTAGATGCATGTGTGAAAGTGCCACTAGAATCCCCTACCCCTTATCCGCAGTTCCGGATTCCAAAAAGCTCTGACAACTCCAAAATATTTCTTTGGCGGGTAATCTTGGCCCTGTCTCACATGGTGGCAAATCAGCTAATATGTGTTCTTTACACTCTTTACTTATTTCCCTTGGTGTGAATTTTCACACATTTTACTGCAAATGTATAAACATGTCTCGTGGAGAGGGTCTGCTGCAGGCCCCTGAGAGTGTTACATAATCTATGGCATTCGCTCAGAATTGCCTTTCTAAAATTGGAACAATTCTGAGCTCTGAAATGCATCTGTCCCCAAGGAATTCAGCTAAGGGATTGTGGACCTCTAACTGGGCACACTGCCGACCCTAGATTCATCTTAATTATTTGTTCAACGTTTATTTAATGGTTCTGAGAAGAAACTCATTTTCCATTACAATTTTTTAAAAATAGAGAATGATGTTCATTTACTAAGTCCCCTTCGTTAATGATATGCTATTTTTAGTGCTGTGTGTGTGCGTGTGAAAGTGTGTCTGTGTGTATGACTACGTGAGTGTGTGTCCGTGTGTGAAGCTGTCTCTGTGTGTGTGTGTGTTGGTATTTCTGTGGGTGTACACATGTGGGTCTGTGTGAGAGATTGTGTGTAAGTTGTGGGTGTTTGATCTTGTCTGTGTGTCTGCGTGACTGCGTTTGTGAGCATCTGGCTATGTGTGTAATTTTGTGTGTGTGAATGTGACTGTGGGTCTCTGGGTGGATGTATGTGTTTGTGTGAGTGAGCAAGAGAGGAGGCATGGCTCAGGGTTTAAAGTTAATTATCTGAAATAAAGTCCTCATTTCACGCGATCATCTCCGCCTTCCTTTTCCAGCATCAGCGAACTCTACAAGAATTACCTTATACGTCCACTAGAGGTCGCCTGTCTACTTGGGCCAAAAGAAACTTAATTCCTGGCAGAGGCGTGGCAGGGGCAGCTAACTCAGGCTCGCTTCGGCTCTAACTAGAAGAGTGGTTCTCAAAATTTTTGGTCTCAGGATTCTTTCACACCCTTAAAAATTCTTGAGGACCCAAAGAGCTCTTTTTTGTATGTATGTTATATCTATCAAAATTTAACCGTTAAATTAAAATTATTACATAATTCATTTAAACATAACTGATGAATCCATTGCATTTTTGCAATTATTGTGTAAAAATATACATAACAAAATTTAATATTTTAACCATTTTTAAGTGTACCGTTCAGTGGCATTAAGTAAATTCACACTTTTGTGCAACCATCACTACCATTCGCCTCCAGAATTTTTTATCTTCTCAAACTGAAACTCTACCCATTGAGCAATAATTCCGCATCTCCCCAGCCCCAGGTAACCTCCATTCTACTTTATGTCTCTATAAATTTGCCCGTTCTATGTAACTCATATAAGTGGAATCATACATTTGTTCTTTTGTGATTGCTTCATTTTACTTAGCATAATCTTTTCAAAATTCATTCACATTGTGGCATGTGTAGTAATTTCCCTCTTTTTTTTTAAAAATGCATTCTTTTTTTTAAATGGAGGTACTGGGGATTGAAGCCAGGACTTCGTGCATGCACTCTATCACTGAATTATACCTCCCCCACCCTGAATTTCCTTCCTTTTTAAGACCGAGTTGTATTTCATTGCACACCAACATAAAAAAAATTCAATGAGAAGAGTGGCATTATTTTACATTTTTGAAAATACAAAATGTCTGGAGG